TGGCCAGTCTCGGTGAGGGGCTGAGGGCTGTTTTCCAGAAGCGGGTGACTGAAGCTCCCAACCGCTCCTTTTTTTCTTTTTTTTTAAATTCTGGGCCAGCTTTAGCTCTGAGGCCTCGCTGCTGAAAACATCGATACAATGTTGCGGTCCGGCTGGCTGAAACCCGGCTGAATGAAAGCCGGTTTCTGGGGTTTTGTTTAGCTTCTTATTTGCAACATAGGACATAGTTGCTTAGAGTTGCAGCTGAGAGGCTGGCAGCGGCAGGCGGGGAACGTTGGAGTTTTCCTTCACTGAAGCAAGCAAGCCTCATGTTCGCTTCCAGCTGCCTGGCTGCCGGCCGCCATCTTGGCTGACAGTTAATTTGCATATACTCACTGATTAGCCAATGAAAAGGGTAGCGGTCGTACGCTAATTACCATGTTTCTCTTTTATTAGTGTAGACTAGTAACCCGGTGCACGAAATTCGTGCACTGGGGTAGGGGGGGGAAAGGGGCCCCTCAGTCTGGCCTTCACCCTCTCCAATCTGAGACCCCTCAAGGGGAATGTCCAACTACCTGTTTGTGCCCACACTTTTAACAGATAACAGCTCCATTGTTGTTTCTTTCTTATGCTTAAAACCATTGGAATTAGTAGGTATTCAAAGTGTGTATACATTTTGGGGGGACACCCTGTATATCTCTAGTCAGCGGTGAAAGAAACCAACAGCAGATTTGGAACCCCCAGACAGGGAACCTCGCTCACTCCCCACATGTCTCCCCACTTCACTTTCCACCTTCGTGGGCAGCAGGAGAATTAACGTTTTCTCTCATTAATTTGGAAAAGCATGTCCTGCATCTCGTAGCTGCACTTGCCTCCATGGGAACAGGGTGCTGGGGTCCAACCCCAGCAGGTCCAGGGGTCCCCAAAGGTGTGGACAGAGTCGGCGAAGAAGGAATGACACGGAGGCAGCATTCAGTTGATCAGCAGCCTAGCCAGGAACTCTAGCCAGGATCTCCAGCCAAGCTCTGTCCAGGATCTCCAGCTAAGTTCTATTGCCAGGTTTTCTAGGTTCTCCAGCTAGGTTCTGTAGCTAGGTTCTCCAGCCAGGTTCTATCCAGGTTCTCCTGCCATGTTCTGTCTAGGTTCTCTAGCCAAGTTCTGTAGCCAAGTTCTGTAGCCAGGTTCTGTCCAGGATCTTTTGCCATGTTCTCTCCCTAGGTTCTCTCTCTAGGTTCTGTCTAGGTTCTTCAGCCAAGTTCTCTTGCTAGGTTCTGTGTCTAGGTTCTGTCTCTAGGTTCTGTCTAGGATCTCCAGCCAAGTCCTGTCTCTAGGTTCTGTCTAGGATCTCCAGCCAAGTCCTGTCTCTAGGTTCTGTCTAGGATCTCCAGCCAAGTCCTGTCTCTAGGTTCTGTCTAGGATCTCCAGCCAAGTCCTGTCTCTAGGTTCTGTTTTCTGCTGTCTTGTTACATCTGTATTTATACCAGTTGATTTTAATCCTATCAATTTCTATTCCAAAAGTTAGGGCGTTTCTTATCTCCATTCCAGGGAGTAAAGATTATGTAGCTCAAGCATGATTGTTTGTAGTTAAAGTGATTAACTACCCGCCTGGCACTTAGTAAGGGTTTTATCCCCTCCCTAACTTCAGGGGAAAATCCCTACCTGGGAAAACAACCTTTCTCGGAGAGGTGACCTTGGTTAAAACACATAGCGCCAAGGTGAGCAAACATATTAAGAACAGTATGCCATATATGCCAGGTCCCTTGAAACAGCAAGGATGGACCGGCTCCCGGCAACAGGGCATCACCACTCCACCCTCTCACTGTCATCTCACAGGCGCCCACCCTCAGCACCCAGAACACCCAGACACTCTCCAAAGGACGTGAGCGCATCAGAGGGGATGTGTGCACATCCTGTGGGGATGTTAGGCATGCTGGGTTGATGGAAGTGCGGTGGAGAGGCGGGGGGAATTTGTGCACGTCTTGGTTTGCTACTGTTGCAGGCGTGGGAGGGTGACAGTGTGCTGGGGGATGTTTGCACGCCAGGGGGGGGGGGGGGGATGTGCCCACCGGAGGCCTCTTGCTTTTGAGATCCGCAAACCCCTGTGACGCGGCCAGGAGGACGTCAGTCTGGCCCTCCACGGTGGCTGTCCCTGTGATCCTGCACCTTCTGGGCCAGGAGGCAGATCTTGCGCAGCCACTCCTGGGCGCTGATGGCCTGCAGGCTCTACGTCAGCTCAGCCTGCAGGCTCTGCTTGGCACACTCACAGCTGTCACCACCGCCATGTGGGGAGTACAGGCCGCCCTCCGCCGGCCTGCCTCCCCTGTTCAGAGGCTCTCTGCACTGTTCACCTGCACAGAGTGACTGGGGCTGGGCGGAAGCCAGGCGTCCTGCCCTGCCCAACCCCGGCCGATCCGCCCCTGTGCGAGCTGCCTCCCCGCTGTAAAGGGTCACGGATCCGGATACCGGATCCGGGTCCCGGGACCGTGCACGGCCTCAAGCGCGGCCCGCCGCCCGGCAGGGTCACAGATCCGTGTCTTGGTCCCGTTGACAGCCTCAAGCATAGCCCCCTGCCCGGCAGGGTCACAGATCCGTGTCCCGGGACCGCGGACAGCCTCAAGCACTGCCCTCCGCCTGGCAGGGTCACAGATCCGGGTCCCGGACTGCAGACAGCCTCCCGTGGTGCCCCCCGCCCGGCAGGGTCACAGATCCGGGTCCCGGGACCGTGAACAGCCTCCCGTGCTGCCCTTGCCCGGCAGGGTCACAGATCTGGGTCCCGGGACTGCAGACAGCCTCCCGCGGTGCCCCCGGCCACTAGGTCACGGATCCGGGTCCCAGACTGCGGACAGCTCAAGCACTGCCCCCCGCCCGGCAGGGTCACAGATCCTGGTCCCCAGGACCGTGGACAGCCTTAGCTGCTGCCGCCCCCCTTCAATAGCAAATAGCCGCCATCTTGTTGCTTCAGGGTGGGGGTTCCCACTGGGTGCCTGGCCAGCCTGGATGAGGGGATGATGGCTGTTTGCAGCTGGTCACACCCCCTTCAGGTGGGGGTCCCCACTGGGGTGCCTGGCCAGTCTCGGTGAGGCGCTGAGGGCCGTTTTCAGGCTGGCGGGCAACTGAAGCTCCCAACCTCTCCTTTTTTTCTTTTTTTTTATTCTGGGATTTATTTACCTTCTATGGCTGTCACTGGAGCTGAGAGCCGTCTTTAGCTCTGAGGCTCGGCTCCAGCTCTGAGACCTCGGCTGCTGAAAGCGGGTACTGGGGTTTGTTTGGGTTCTATAATTGTAACACTGTTGCGGTCCTGCTGGCTGTAGCCCTGCTGGCTGAGGCCCTGCTGGCTGAAAGCAGGTTTCTGGAGTTTGTTTAGCTTCTATACTTGCAACAATGTTTCTTAAACTGCAAGCTCAGAGGCCGGCAAGGCAGGGCGGGGAACATTGGCTTCCTCCGTCACTGGAGCAAGCAAGCCTCCTGTTCGCTTCAAGCTGCCTAGCTGCTGGCCACCATCTTGGTTGACAGTTAATTTGCATATCGCCCTGATTAGCCAATGGGAAGGGTAGCGGAGGTACGGCTAATTACCATGTTTCTCTATTATTAGATAGGATGATCTGCCCAATTCTGAGACCTGAAGGTCAGGTTGGATGGGGAGTGAAGGTGGAGAGACTCAAATGAGTTACCACACATCAATCAGCCAAAAATGGAACTACCAGTATTAGCTATAGTGATTTATTTTTTCCAAAACAAAATTTCAATTTAACTAATACTTAGGGAAATAACAAAATATTTGATTAGTAAGTTGGTTATGTTAATTATAGATTACTAAAATGAGAAATGAACAAGAGTTTTACAAAAGGGAGATAGGAAAGTTCAAATATTATGTGTAGTATGCAATAAGAACCAGATAAAAAATAGGTGTTGCAAAAGACATGTACTATCCTATAGCTGAGTTACAGATCACCTAAGCAATATTACAATACAGGCTAGTACCCCAGGAGAACCATTTAGTTAGCATGTCGCTAACCAACTGAACCTTTGAACTGAGAGGCAAAATCAGTGACATCCCAAAGAAGTAGTCTCCTAGTGTCAGAATAAGGAGATGGATTCTCTCCCCCTTGCTTGGTTCCTAATCTTCCTCTGTGCAACCCTAGCAAACATCTAGAACTGGTTTTGCTAATTGGCCTTTGCTTATCCCCCCAAAAGTATTCCCCACTATAGAGTTACTTCTGGTTTTAAAGACCTAATAACATAGGAAACAAAGGATAGAGAATTACCCTTTGAATGTGGTACCAAAAAGAAATGCATAGGAGGAAATTCTGCTGCACTGACAGTATAGAACATATTTATTTACCTGTTGGTTCCAGGGGCTGCTACCCAGTGTACTTTCTAAGTCCTAGAATTAATACCAAAGTGGTAAGAATAAAACGAGGGACTTTTCCCAATGGATAGGGTTGGCACAAGACTTCCTGACTGAATCAATAGACAAATGAATAAACAAACACTGAAATGATTGTTTGATTTCATATCAGACATCCCATTGAATCCCATAAATTAAAGCCAGGTGTGCTCTACAAGTGTAAATGATGGAACACCTTGAAGAAAGGGACCTAAACTATCCTATATAATAAAAGGCTAATATGCAAATCAAACGGCAGAATGACCGGTTGCTATGATGTGCACTGACCACCAGGGGGCAGACGCTCAATGCAGGAGCTGCCCCCAGTGGCCAATGTGCTCCCACAGGGGGAGCACCGCTCAGCCAGAAGCCAGGCTCATGGCTGGTGAGCGTAGTGGTGGTGGCAAGAGCCTCTCCCGCCTCTGTGGCAGCACTAAAGATGTCCAACTGATGGCTTAGGCGGTGCAGGCGGGCTGTGAGAGGGTGCAGGCGGGCTGAGGGACCCCTCACCAAGTGCACAAATGTTGTGCACTGGGCCTCTAGTAATTCAATATTGAAGAGGTTTTAAGTTGGTAAGGAAGGAGCCTAGGAATGCCTAAGTTATCCGATACCATAGAAATAAAAATGTTAAGAATAAGAGTAATTCTGATTGCTTTATTAAAACGTTTCTCACATAGTTCTTTACAAAAACACCATGTCTATAAAAGGTTACTCAACAAATATCAAAACCTTCCATGTATAGGACACTTATCAAAAAAGACAGAGGATCCATGTTCTTGGTTCTTAATATAACTCCGAAATATTTAAAATTCTGAAAGGTTAATTAACAAATCTTAAATTTTACTTCACTTACAATTTCAGTAGTGCTGAATTTGATTTAGTATTGTACTTGTAGTGCTATCCCTATTTTTTTGTTCACAAGAAAAGAAGCATATCATTCTCTTGCTATCTGAAATATGTTTATATGGTTTAGCTGTATGTTTACATAAATATATTTATACTTGTGTAAAACAAAATTTTCTGAGTTGTAAATAAATTTTAAAAAATAAGTAAACTAAAGCAATATAAAAGTTAAAATTACAATACATTTAACCCATAATGCCAAAATTTTGGATCATCTTCATGAAAGAAATGTACGAACTGTACCCTTGATTGTACCTCTACAAATAGGACATTTTCTTAGAGAAGGGGCACAATCTTTGCATACTACTAGATGACCACACGGAATAAACACTATGGAAACTTCTTTGTCCATACACACTTTGCATGTTCTTTCTTCTTGTAGTCTCCTCAATTGTTCTTCTATTGGTAAGTCTAAGAAGAGAAATAAATTTTTAATAAAAGGCAATTTGGTGCTTCTCTCCCAATGAAAAGCCAAGAAAATAAAAATAATGTTTTCTGCTGGCTTAAATCATTAATACTATTTTACCTGAAACATTTTCTGTGGGAACATACTTTATGTCCTGTTGCACTAAGGAGGAAAAGAAAAAAGCATTACTAGGGCAAGTAAGGTCAGTATTTAGTCACAGAATACATATTTTTAAAGTAACAGTTTAGACTCCAGCCAAATGCTAGAAATAATTGTCATCATGTCAAGGCAACAAAAGTCTTTAGTCTTTTGTGCAATTAATAGTTTATATATTTGATTGGATTTTTTCAATAATCACAATTATTAATAAGCATATTTTCCATTGATCTAGAAAGTTCTCAAAAGTAATTTTCTAGCACTCACCAAATAGACGCTTGTATAACGTGGGGTCATTTTCTTGTAGAGAGTTTCTGAATACGGTGGCTGCAAAATTTCCTTTTACTATAATAGTATCAATCAGTTCTCTTGCTTGCAGAGTTGTCTGCGTTTTCAGTCTAATAATATCATGTTCTTGTTCATGAATCACTCCGGCAATTAGTAGACTATCCAGGATTGGAACCACACAAGTCAAATGTTGAGAAAGTGCCATCCTGTTCTTCCGGATATATGACAGATCATCTTTGTGAAAAAGAACACAAACATGTTCAATCTCTGTTCACAAACTTCCTTCCACACCTACACATATAACTGAATGAAAAAAATGACCATAATTCATAATCAGGCATTAAAGTTGACTGCTAGGTTTGGAGGTACCCAACCCCCTGTGCCTAATAACAATGTTACGGACTAACACTTACTGAGCACTGTGGTAAGCCCTGAGAGTGTATTTACTCATTTCATCTTCACAACAGCCCTTTGAGGTAGATACTAGTATTTTAATTTAACAGATGAGAAAACAGAGGTACAATGTGGCAAGTAAATTACTTGAGGACACACAACTAGCAAAAGTCAAACCAAGGCAGTCTGGCATCATAGTCTGTGCTCTCAACCATTTGGCAATACTGCTATAAAATACAATTTAGAACCTAATAAAATTGAAATTTCTATTTAACCTAGTCAAACTGGGGGAAAAATAAGATAGTTAAAATGATAGAATATTTTTCTTAAATTACATTTACGCATAAAATTCCTTTAAATTTCCATTTTAAGATGAAATTTTTAGTTATTTTCCTAAATTAGACATGATATTGCCATTACCTAAATATTTTGCAGTAAAGGGAAAGACATTAAGAGCATTTTGAAAACTAAATGCTACTTGTCAATGACACATTCCTGTCATTTAGGATCACTGTGTTCTCTGAGATCTAGATTTTTTTATCTACTGGTGAAATGTTTCCTATTTTGAAGCTCTGAAATTTTATTATCTTTTATTCTAAATTTAATAATTATCATATAGTTTTACCATGATCCATAAAGCTATTTCTATGAAGTAACTAATAACAGAAGTTTGGTTGTCTAAAGAAGTATTTGGGAGAGATTTCTAGATTTTAGAAGCACTGACTTTGTCAAGTAAAAGGACATAAAAATAGAACAATGTAATAAATAATAAAATACAGGGTTTAGTAAAAAAGTCAAGGTTAGAGATATACATTTTCAAGATAATTGAAGCTCTGAGAATAAATGAGAATTGAAGCTCTGAGAATAAATAAAAGATCTGAGAATAAACCTAGAGCAGTATCTGGCACAAGATCAATGCTCCAAAAATATAGATTGAACAAATGAACAACCAAGCCTTAGTAATTTAAAGAGCAATGGGAACAAAGAAGTAATAGAGGGGGAGAAGAATTAGAACTTAATTTATTCTGTTAAAGTATCTATGTTAGAGAAATAGTGATATATTAAAAATAAAGATATAATTTACAACTTGATGTTGAAGTATATTAGTTTTTCAATCTAAGATTAATGTTTCTAATTTCATGTTATTTAACCTAATGTAATCAATTTTCTGAAATTCTTAAGATGTCTAAAATTGGATTGCTAGTGGCTGTATGAAAAAGTCTCATTTCAAAGTCATAGATTCTATTCTGGCTTCTAAGGTGAAAATACTTTAGAGGCATTTTATTCTCTTATTCTGGAAAAATATCCTTAATTTCCTCTTTATTTACACACCTGTCAAGAAATTACCCACTGTTCTCAGTAAACTTTAAAATAATCAGTAACCTAAATGGAAGTATTTTCATTCACTCATTCAAAGAACATTTCTTGAATGCAGACACTATGTGGGTAGTGTGGGTATAATGTTGAGCATGAGAAGGGATCTTTTTGACAATGCATATTATTGTATACTAGAGGCCTGATGCATGAAATTCGTGCACAGGTAGGGTCCCTAGGCCTGGCCATTGATCAGGGCCAATCGGAGCCTTCTGGCTGCCAGCCGGGGCCTTCCTTCATTCTTCACTGTCCCCTGGTGGTCAGCACACATCATAGCAAGTGATAGAACTCCCAGTCGAACTCCCGCAGGGACACTTTGCATATTACTAGCCATATATATATATATTGTTTAATTAGGGTTATAGCTGGAGACTTTGTTGATTTTCTTCAGAGGAAACATAAGTATTTTATAGCTGGATGGCTTTAGACTTCATGGAGTCTATAAACAATTGTGGAAATGAATGTTCTCTTCTTTGAGCAATTGTTCACTGATGACCAATAGCCAAACTGAGAAGACTACAGGAAGGACTTGCAGCCTGATCTTCACTTCATAATGAAAAAGAGAACTTGAGTAGGGTGGGCAAAGATGAACTTGGACTATTTTGCTGCTGAATTGGTGTGTAAGACTATAACTCACACTTTGGTAAATAAATAATGCTGTATTACCATAGTCTGATATGTTTGCCTAGGTTAGCCAGAAGGCAAAGCCACCTTAGTGGGCAAGAGTAGGTTTATTCAGGAATGGAGTAAACAATCTCACTGTCAATCATCCTGGGAAGAACTAGATCCCAGATGGCCTTGGGAATAAGAATAAGGGGCAACCTCTTTTCTCCTTCTGGGCTTAGTGGATATTTGGGAACCTGAGTCTTGATTAGGGAAAACATGCTTTCCTGGTCATTAGTATAAACTGGCCAGAGCTATGCAGAGATAAACCAAAAGCTAGGAAGAGAGATTTGTGAGGATGAGCCATTTGGGCCATGGTGCTCTTCTGTTATCCCTAAATCTCCAGGAAGAGCTTGTTAAAAGTTGCAGTCTGTTTTTAGCTATGTTGAAAGGACTCTCAGAACTGGTCCGTGCTTGGGGAAGAGTGGCAAAGGAGAGATCATCTCTTTGTCTAGGCCACAGTGATGGGAGCAATGAGAGCAACCAGTTGAGACCGGACATGCTCTGAGGAAGAGTTTTGGTAAAAGGCAATATAGTAAAGGCAATAGAGTAGCAGACAAAGCTAGTATGGAAGGACATGGGTAAGTTATCTCGAGAGAATGTGAAACAGTACCTATCTTAGGACTCCCCTAAATACTAGACGGACACTAGGAAGGGAAATTCAGCTCTTGTACAGGCAGGTAGGAGACTTCATCATAATTTGTACATTAATTTATAGTCATAGGCTAAAACATACTGTTATGCCGATATTAAAATTAATAATTGTTACTGATCCCATTCCAATTTAAAGCAAGCAACTGGCCTGGGGTTAAAAGCATGCCAAGAATTACATGCACAATCAACTACCCAGAATCCTATCTAATAAAAGAGTGATATGTAAATTAGCCATCACTCTGCGACAAAGATGGCAGCGCCCATAATGGCAGTGTTGCCCTGGCAATGTGAGCCCAGCATCCGTGCCCAGCCGCACAGAGAGAAGGGAGGGGAGGGGCCCCGGCCGCACAGAGGGAGGGGAGGGGCCTTGGGCCAGAGGCCAGGGCAAGGGATGCTGGCATCGTTGCAGGCCAGGCTGAGGGACCCCACCCCCCGTGCACGAATTTCGTGCACCAGGCCTTTAGTAAAAATATAAATTAAGAAAAAGCAGGGGGAAAAATGCTCTCATTAAGTATATGCATTTCAATTTACTAAGCAATTCAAATATATTTTAATGTGAAGAAATTTTTCAGAATACTAATCATAAGAAAAATCTGATTGAATTGACTATGAGTGTATTTTCAATAACTTATATGCAGTGACATCAAATTCTTATGGAAACAGAGACTGTACTAACAAATATGCGTACCTGATTCTTCTTCCTCAGTTGCTCTTTCTTTCTCCTCTTCCCTTATTTCATCTTCAGCATAAAGTAAATCTAATACAAGATCACTGACGATTTTATAATTCTCCCCAGTTGTTAGAATTTTACTCTGAACTGTCTGTTTTACCAGCCTTCTACTGAAGCCCATGTCCAAGGCAGCTGTAACCACAGGTGTATTCATCATGACTGCATCTTCCGAATGGTTTTCTCCAGGTCCATAATGAATAACTATGGAATAAAGAATTTAACACATATTGGGATAATCTGTATTTTTTTAAATTAAAAGTTATTACAATTTCAAAAACATAAAGCCCAAGAAACATAAAGGTACTATTTTGTATTAACTTTGTTAAATTTAAAATAATGATAAGTACGTTTGGTCACTAAAATAAGAATATGGAATATTGTATTCAGATACAAAATATGCATTATCCAGCATAACTATGAGTATGAGAAGGTGATGGAATGTTGGGGGTCACCCCAAGCAGAACAGAGGTCCTTTTTTCCCATGTTGAATGAACAAATGAGCTTTCTAAATCAAATATGTTTCACATATTCCCAAAAGAGGCCATTGTCATCGCTCACCTTTATTACTGCAATGGCCTCTTTCAGTATTGCTCCCATCTAGTTCATTCTCAACATTGCAGCCAGAGTGACATTTTAAAAACAGAAATCTGATTGTGTCACACTCCTTAAATTCCAACAATTCTACTGCCCTTAGGATTGTGGCGTGTAAGACCTCACACCATCTCTGGACCCTGTTTACTTCTTCATCCTCACCTCTCGCCATTTGTTCATTTGCACAATACACTCTAGCCCAGGAGCTGCAAACTGATGGATTTCTCACCATTTCCTCATTTGTATTCTGTACCCTAGTCCAGAAGTCACAAATTCTGCCTGCAGTGCTGACTACTCTTACTGCTGACCTGATTCATTTATCTGTTTGCAAGTCCTACTTCTGGCCATACAAAGTTTTGTTCAGTTCTTCAAATGTGCCTGTTCTCTTTTGTCTATGAAGTCTTTCTGCCTGGAATATTCTTTCTTCCCTTTGTCACTTGGTTAACTCCTATTGGTCCCTGTGATTCTATGATAAGACCAATACGTCCTCTCATCTGAAGCCTTTTCTGATCTTTCCTCAGGCACTCTCAGAACACACTTACCCTTTCCCACCACATCCCTCTCTCCTATCTATGTATTTGTCTGTCTCCCTTTGCCTATTAGCTCATGAGAACAGGAGTTATGTTTATCCTGTTCTCTAGCCTAACCTCAGAAGAGCAGATACACAATAAATATTCATTGACTTTAATTGAACACTAGATAGTAGAATAGAAGCGCTTGTTCCAATATAGGCTCTGTCACCTTTATGTTTAAGGTGATGGACAGATCACGTAACCTCTCTGAGCCTCGGAGTCCCTATTTGACAATAAATAATATTTTCTACCCTCTCCATTTCATGGAAAGAATATGTGAGCAAGCTAATGTTACAGTGCATCTGTTCCCACCCTGGTCTGAGAACAAGGGTTAGGCTGGATGTATGTAGTTTGTTAAAACAACAGATGCTCAAGCCCTGCCCTTAGATAACTATGATTTAATCCAGTAGGTTTGAAATGGAGACTAGAAATCTGTAATATTTTTTAAAGTTCCTTAGGCAATTATGATATGCCCTAAAGTTTGAGAAATACCAGCTTAATGTATTTGAAAATGTACTGTAAATTATAAATCATACCACAAATATACGTATATTATAACTATTATCAAATTTCTATCGTAACAGTACCAAGTGGTTCTATTTAAATGTGGCAATTATTATCATTGTACATACTTGGTAACTCTGCATTTTCATCTTCTGGATTCTCTGAAGTAGATAACAGCTACAGGGGGGAAAAGGTATAAAATTAAAATATAAATCTTATCCTGTCCATTGCAACAAAAATAAATCAAGAGGCCTATTTTATTCAACTTACTGACTTGTTTATTGGCAAAATAATTTTTATATCAAAAGCACTATTTTCAGCAGTAATTTCCTAAGCCATAAACTAATAGCATTTCTTTGGGTATGTGTGTGTATATATTAACATATAAATTCTATTTTTATTAAGGCAGGAGAAGGGCTAGATCTTTTCAGTGATCTACGACAATCATTGTTTGCCTTTCATCCCAAATATCAGACATTTCCTGGATCACCCTTTGGGATAAGTTGGACCCTATATCAGTTCCATTTGCTATGCTTAGAAAGTGTTTGGTCCTCAACACTACTATATAAATTCTTTTTAAAAAATATATTTTTATTGATTTCAGAGAGGAAGGGAGAGGGAGTAGGAGAGAGAGATAGAAACATCAATGATGAGAGAATCACTGACTGGCTGCTTCCTGTATGCCTCACACTGGGGATCGAGCCTGCAACCTGGGAATGTGCCCTGACCGAGAATCGAACCAGGACTCGAACCGGGACGTCTTGGTTCATAGGTCGATGCTCAACCACTGAGCCACACCAGCTGGGCTATATAAATTCTTATTTGCTTTTCCAGGAAGATTAGAAAGAGGAATACAATTCTCTTTCTCAAATCTTTTTAAGAAAAATTAATATAGTAAACCATTATAATTCTACCATCCCCTCCACCCATTTTTTTTTCCTCAAATTTTATTGCAACTTCCTTAGAAAAATGCTTAGAGAGAAATATAACTTAAATATTATTTTTCAGGAGGTTTCTAATTCTGAATCTGTTTTTATCCTAAAAATAGTACTCTAAGATCATGCTGGGTGTTGTAAAAAAGAAAACTTTTTTTTTTTTTTTGGTAATTCTTACCCAAGGACATTTTTTCCATTTATTTTTAGAGAGTGGACGGGATGGAGGGAGGGGAAGAAAGAAGAAGAGAGAGGAGGAGAAAGGAGAGAGAGAGAGAAATATCGATGTCGATCGATGGAACCAGGGATCGAACTTGCAACTTAGGTACATGCCCTTCCCTGGGAATCCAACTGGAGACCCTTAGGTGGGTGGGTGGGCACTCTAACCACTGAGCACACCGGCCAGGGCAGAAAATGTATTTTTAAAGCAAGTCTTGCCTTTGTAGTAAAATACTACTCTCTAATTATTATAAAATATTTTATCTGTTGTTAACCAACGATTAAAAAACTAATAAAGTCCCTACCTGTTCAAGTAGATGAGGGTAATTGGCTTGAACTCGACTGATGAACTCTTGTCCTTTAACTCGTATCAAGTACTCACACCTAAAATGTAAGCAAAATTAAGTTTGAGGAGTTATTTGAATCTGGCCGTTTGTAGACTGCTACACATTTTAAATTAACACAGATATGCATATAACCATTTGACTAATCATGCAGCATATGCGAAGTGTTAAGAGACACTGCAAAGGCGAGATGATGTAAGCAAGAAGGCTGTAACTGGTAATACTGTTCATAAATTAGCTTTATATGCTTAAAAGATGAAAATCTACAAAGGGGGACAAGAAGAAAGAATGAGGAAGCTAAACATTTTCTATTAAGTCAGATATTCACAAGTTTGACATTTCCTAGCTAATACACATCCATTGTCAAATTTAAGTACAAAATTAATTCATGACACTACCAAAGCAAATTTACCGTTCTTTTTACATATTCACAAAAAGAAGCACTTTTTAAGACATCTATGTAAAGTATTCTTTATCCCTTCATAATTTTTGAAATCTGAAATATTTGGGGAGCACTATGTTGCTGCAAATGAAGATACAGTTTTATATTTTAAAAAAGCATATGTAATGAAAAGAAGTTAGGATATCAAGTTTAGTAATCACCATTAAATATACTAAAAGTTTTGACCATGAAAAATATAATTATAGCCACCTGATTTTAATAAAAAAGGAGAGTGTAAACAAGTATGGAATAATCAAAAGTATAAGACATGACAATAAAAAGCTAAGTAGTGATCAAAAAGCTAGATTTGATGGGTATTCTGCTCTGTTTCTTTTTATCCATAGTACTTATTACCTTCCAACATGCTACATAACTTCTTTATTAAGGAGTTATGTAGCATGTAAAATCAGTATGAAACCATAAGTCTTGGTTTTGTCCCACTGAGTATTTTAAGTGCCCAGAACAATGCCTGGCAATAGATGGTTGATTAATATTATTGAATGTTGAATGAATGAAAATATGTCCAAGATATAAAATTGATTGAAAAAAAGCCTCAAAACAATATCTATAATATATAATTCATGTAGAGAAATTATATACATTTATCTATATACAGAATGTCCCAAAACACTTCAACAGTTGATAGCTCAATTTTGAAAATGAAATGTGTTTTAATAAACACTGCTTTTATAATTATTCAAAGAGTATACATTTTGGGGGGACACCCTATATGTACATAGGCGTAAAGAGATTTTGGAGGATGTTCACTAAAATGGTAGCTGTAGCCATCTTTAGGTTGTGAGTTCTGGGCATTTTAAATTTTTTGTCTCTGTACTTGTTTATAACATGTGATTTTGGTTTTATAATGAGCATATATTAAAATATATACTAATTATACAAAAAATCCTAAATTTATTTCTCCTTTGTCTTAAATTTCCATCAAAATATTTTAAGTAATTATTTTTCTGAGCAATGCATCCTAAATTTATTCACAAATGTATGTCTGAAACAAAGAATCAACTAATGGCTGACTACAAGGTAAACACATATAACCTATCTCATAATAATCACACACATTTGCAAAGAGAATTTCAAAACAATTACCTTGGAAACCATTTGGCATGTTGTACCCAGGGGTCATCTCCAGATTCCCAACACCTCAGTCCACCATCACAGCAAAAGCATTTGACATCATCATTGTGACCTAAAATTGATGTTGGACCAAAACTTGTCATTTGCCCACTGAAATGCATAAAACATTTTGAATTTTTTTAGATTAAGTTTCTTACCCATATAATAAAAACCTGCACTTGCAAGCTGCTTAGGATGAACTCCAACACTAGAGGGCCAGTTACAGAATGTTCTGAAACGGGCGGCCTGTGTCTGCATGCTCAGATTAGAAACACTGTATCTTGAAGTGTCTTGAGGCCGACTTTCTAAAAACGGGCAGTGGGGGAAATGTCTCAGGTGTTCCGACATAGCATCATCCTTTGGTTCCCAGTTGCTCAGTTTTCCACCACAGGCAAAGCAAGCCACTCTGTCTCCAGGTCCTATGTAGTAAAAACCCGCTTTTGCCAGATCGGTTGGCGACAGGAAGGTCAATGGCCACGTCTGGAAAGTAAGTAACCTGGCGTGTTCCGTATTCATTATGCAGTGGTTGGGACTTCTCAAGGCAGACACATCGTGATTTGGTTCTGAGTTCACAGGACTTGAGGGGAAGCTGGAATAAGAGCCACTGAAATAACCACTGTTTTCTGAACTTGGAAATACTGAATGTGTGGAATTTGTTCCCGAAGAAGGCAAATTAAGCGGAGAGGTGGCTCCCGAAATGTTACCTGAATTTAGTTTCTGAAGAAAGACACAGCTAGGGTACAACTTTTTATGCTTTTCAATCGGTTTGTCTCCTTGTTTCCAGTTATCCAGCATCAGGCCACAGCAGAAGCATTTGACCTTGTCATTCACACCCGTGTAATAAAAACCAGCCCGAGCAAGACTCCTTTCGGACACAAGAACACCAGCGGGGAAAGTCGAGTACGTAGACATTCGGTATAGTTCACAGGAAAAGTCATACTTCATTTCAGACATGTTGGCGCTTTTCATCAGCTTTGATAAGAATTCGCTGTTTTCTACGAGGTTCATAAAGAAATGGATGGGGAGGAAAAGGGACTAGCCTTTCTCTAGGGAGGTAGTTTTGTGCATGGCTTTGATTTTTCTAGTTTTAGTTCTAGGTTGAACACCTAGAATGAAAATATTTTGTTCTTTTTTTCTCCTCTGTCTTCAGGGTTTCAGCACAGGGAGATCAAAATCCTGCATTGACACATCTTAAGGAACAATTATGCATAACAGCACCTTTGTATGAGCATACAATGTAAGCATGACGCCCTATAGTACCTTGTGATGAAAATGCAAAGCCTTCGTAAGTGTAGAGAGCTTTGGGTCAGCAAGATGCCATCTAGTGTCGGGCACTTCAACAGGCAGGTCAGTGCACTAGAAGAACGCTTCAGTGACGTTCAGCCAGCCTAACGATAAAACGTCTGACTCACACAGCTAGCTTGCTCCCATGGTGGAAAGTTATGCTGGATAAGTGCTCTACAGAAAATAAATACTCTAACTATGTTTGTTTTGCTTTATTTAGATTGTGAAATTTGGTGGTGGGGGGCGGTAGAAAGCATAAGAGAAAAAGAATGCATACCATAGTTCACTGATTCTAAGATGCATGTTTTAATATCTGTTATAGAGAGGTATCTTAAAATTAATGCCATAGCATATTTTAATTAGCAGCATTTTTATTTCTTAGAGGTACATAAAATTATAGTATACCTTATAATTGGTGACATCTTAGATTCAATGACATATAGTATATCCCAAATCTTGCTCAGATTAAGTAATTTTTCTTCCTACAATCATTTTAATAGGGAGAACAAAGCAATCCAAACTTTTCTTCCAGATAGAGCTTAAGTCGTAACAGAATTAACTGATACATCTTAAGGCATGGTTTTAAAATTTATTAAAGAATAATTATTTCTCATAAATAGTCAGGAACCTGGTTGCTTTGCAATAGCGATACCATTAGATCTTACTTGGCAAATTAGACATTCTATTTTATTTGCTCAATGGGTCTCCTAAATTCAGCTTCATGCTGTTGAGAGCCAACATCAAATCTTCTACTCTGATAGTGGATTTAGTTTTAAGACAACCAAAAGGGCCAAGTCTATAGGTTACGATGGATAGCCAAATACAAATATGGCGTGGTCAGAAAATATTCCACAGATAGCATACCTTGAACTGGAATTTATCAAGACAAAATAATAATAAATTTACTTTGTCACATCCACTCCTTTTGAACAGCAGAGACCGAAAAACTCAGAATATCTCAATTATGACTAGCTACTAGTGAATAGGTTCTGCATCAATAATATCAGCAATGACCAATAAACAAATCATCATGGTTTTTCTAGCAGTGATTTGTAAGCATGGTTTCCTGTTGGGATCTTTCTTTTCTTTCTTTTGTTTTTGTTTTTTGTTTTTATACTGGGATTTTCCACTGCAGACTTTAATGCTTTATTTCCAGGTGGCAAAACACACACACACACAAAAAAACATATCTCAAAGGTGAGTTATTGTATCTAATTTTAGTTTTTCACTGGTCAAAAATTTTACACATTGTTATAACACCTTCTTGGGGTTTATTATTGTCTCTGTGTAAATTTTACTTCTGAATAAGGTTGTTCCTTTATCAAAATGTAACCATCTAGCCATCATTCTTATTCTTATCAATCTCAGAGATAACAGCCCATTTGAACAAACTAAAATACCAATAGTCTTATCAATGGTTAGAGAATTTATTCACCAATCATCAAGTTCATCTTTCCTACTTTGTCTAAATTTCTTGTACTTATCAAAAAGTTTTGTTCTTGACATTTCTTTGTCATTGTAGAAGTCTTTAAACATGTCAAAGTTCTTGTTTGCATATTTCTCTAATTTAACAGAGGGTTGAATATTAACTCTTTGTTCTAGATAACTGTCATTCATTTCTAAATCTTTAACAAACATAGGTACTTTTTTTCTATTCTACACAGCAGCTAGATTGCTCAGCCAATTTTGAAGAGTACTTCAACAATGTGTCCCAAGTAAAATCACTTCTCCACAGTCAAATTAAAAAAACTCAATATTACTTTATAGTTATACCTCACATAACTAGATCATATTTTTAAAATGATAACATTCTTTGGATGCCACAAACTCTAATTAACTACTTAATTTGTTTATTCATGCACAAAACTACCTCCCAGAGATTAGACTAAGTCCCTTTAAGGATTTTAGGTCTCCATGATGAGCTGTTTTGAGTTACAGAAAAAAAATGGAAAAAATCTAAAAGAAGTAAAACAGTTTGCTTCCTTTGTAAAACCTGTTTAAAAAGAGAGAGAGAGAGAAAGAGAGTTTTAAAAGTCAAATAATTCATAGAAGTAATACAATTATATTTTTTAAAAATATTTTCCCCAAATAGAGCACTAGTATTTACTGATTGTCCACTGTGTACAAGTTGCTGTACTACACATGCAGAGGCCAAGAAATCCCAGACAAAAACCAGACAGCTCAAACGGGGAGCCAGTAGAGGTATTATGTTTGGCTTACACAGAATTAACTATAATATTTTACTAATTTTTAAACTTTTTTATTTTAAAATTAACTTATACTTAGAGAAACCTTACAAAAATAACAGTTCCCACATACCATGTACTCAACTTCCCCAAAGGTAACATCTTACATAACCATAGTACAATTATAGGAACCAGGAAATTAGCATTGATACAATGCTGTTAATTAATCTGTATGCCTTGTTTGAATGTCACCAGTTTTCTAAATAAGTAAATTTTTGGACCACAGTATTTTTATTTGTTAATTTTTTATATCCTTTTTAATGATTAGAGAGAGAGAAACATCAATGTGACAGTGAAACATCGATCAGTTGCCTCCCACCCACACCTCAACTGAGGATCAAACCAGAAACCTGGGCACGTGCCCTGACCAGGAATCGGACCAGCAACCTTTACGGGACAATGCTCAACCAACTGAGCCACACTGGCCAGGGTGGGACCACAGTATTTTTAAATGTTTTAGTTAATTACCAACATTTTTTAAAAGTAAGAGACTTCCCATAACATTCCCTAGTTTAGAATGTTAGAAAAATGAGAAGATCTGACCACATGGGGTCTACATTCCTGCATGGCAACAACCAGCCAGCTCTGAGCAGGACTGCACCTTGAGGAGAGGGCACGTGCTCTCCAGTTTGGTGCCGTATGGAGACTGACTGTCAGATGCTATTTGTCACTGAGCTGGCTCTACTGATTTCTTATAGTAGAATTATGAGGAAAGTGCAACTGTATCTATCAAAAGTAACACAATGAAAGGGAGACACAGAGGAACGCATGTTTAGAGAAAAATGAGAATACCATATTTCTTTGTGGAAAGGAAGAACATCCCTTCATGTTTACATATGTGTTTTTGTTTAAAAGAGATACCCACAGTTTTGTTCATTTATACCACTTGCCTGGCCCCTATGTGTTTGAGATCGCAAATCCCTTACACGAGGGGTGGGGAACATCTGGCCCATGGGCTGTCTAAGGCCCTTGAAATCGCTAGGTCTGGCCCTGCCAAGGCATTAGGGGTGAGTTAATTAAATGTTTGACCAGATATAGTGGCTAATTTTTAAATTGATGATTTTGTATGGCCTGTGAATGATGTTATCCAAATGGCCCTTGGCAGAAAAAAAAAGTCCCCTACCCCTGCCTTGCCCAGACCTTACCTAAAGAAGCTTTGGTGTGGAAAGAAGGCATATGTTTATGGAAAATTATATATACACACAAACATGCCAAGATGCCAACCCTGGATCAGTTCAAACTGTCTTAACCATTTCCAACACCTAGACTTCCAAATGCTGCTGGGGAAGATCTGCAGCCTTGCAGACCGGGACCAACATGACTTCAGGCACCACCGTGGCTGGCCCGTCACCATTCCTAGCAATTCTACTTACCCCTGGTCAGCTCCTATCCCACTGCCCTGCGCAACTCTCCTAAACCTTCAATGTTCTCACATTTCTCCTCCACTGCTCTCCATCTTGCTTTCAATAGGTAGCTTTGCCTTCTATTGCTCACGACCTACTTGCTACTTCAGATAACAACCCTTGTCCCTTGACATGCCCCACCCCCGCCCGACCCTCCGCCTCAGAAATCTTGCTCTTAACCTCATCCCCCTCATTTGTTCAACTCTCACTCTCTACTGGCTCTTTCCCTTCAATATAACAAGCATGCTTAAGTCTGTCCCAGCTTTCAAGTAAAAACAAACCAAAAAATCCTCTTTGAACCCCCACTTTCCACTCTAGCAACTATCCTGTTAACTCACCTTTTCACAGCCAAGTGAATTGAACAAGTGTCTCTGGTTAAGGTCTCCCACTATAATTGGCTTTAGCCAGCGCCACTTAAAACTAACCTCAATATTTATAAAACCAGCTTCTTTGCCAAAACCAATGGAAACTGTGTTTTACCCTGGAGCCCACTTCCTCTTAAAATTCTCTGTTCCCTTGGATTCTGATACCACTCTATTGGATTTCCTCTTTCCTTCTCGGTTTGGCTTAAGTCCCCAACCTCTTCTCTTTTTACTCTTGTCATTTCCCGTGAGCAACCTCTCTGAGCCCGAGGCTACTGGGTGTCTCCCCCCTCTTGGGCACTTAGTGTATCCATATCTCCGACAGTGTAGGATATATTTGCCTTTTTTTTTTTTCTTTGCCTCTCCCGAAACTGTGAGCTCCTTCAAATCAGAACTATGTTTCAACTTTGTACCAGCTCTCCCAACCACAATATCCACCCAGCCTGGCATATAATGCAGACACTAAGACTTTTTGTTGAAGAAATGAATGTTGGCAAACTTGACTAAGTCCCCCCATAACCACAATACCCTCATTTGCATAGTATGAAGATATCAATGTTATATTAATGACCATAAAGTCTGCACAGTGATGGTTCAATAGCAGGCTTTGGAGTCGAACATCTTGGGTTTCCAATACCATTCAGTCTTCCCCCACCAGGGTGTGTAACCTTGGGCAAGTAAATCTCCCTGAGCCCGAGTTTCCTCCGTGTCAATAGAGCTAATTATGATAATTGCTTAAGATTGTGGGAACACCTGTAAAGTCTTCAGAGGAGGTGCTAGCATATACAGTGGGGCCTTGACTTACGAGTTTAATTCCTTCAGAGACCAAGCTCGTTAAGGAGCTCGTTAACTCAAATTA